TTATTGAATCACGTTTGCAATCTGCAGTTTCAGTATTAGTTTCCCACTTCATAGAATCAATTTATTTTTTATAAACAGAATTCAATAATGATAATTATAAATGATTACAAATATACTGTATCTTTTGTCAATGATTTTATAACAAAATGACTATGTTGAAAACTTGCTGAATGTGTACAAACCAAATTTACCAAAAAGAAAAAAAAAAGCAGCAGCTCACTGGTAGGATAAACAATGTTAATTTTATCTCAAAAGTACATCTACCAAGGAGTCTTCATTTCCAGTAGTATTTAATATGAAATTCTTAATTTTTTACATTAAATATTACTAAAATTTAATTAAGAATCTTTATTGGATGTATTTTTGAGAAAGAACATTTAATTTTATAAGAATTTATTAATTAATTTTTATAGATTATTAATTAATTTTATAAGAATAATTTTGTACTCCCATTAATTTTATAAGAATGAAACAATCTAAAAATAGTAAATATTGACAGACAAAGTAAAAAAAATGTTCATAAACAAAAACAACACTATATTGTACTATGTTCAATAAATAAATACAGTAGAGCATCGATTATCCCACTCAATTGGGGACTGGGGTTGGTTGGATAACTGAAAAAACGGATAACCGAAAAGTATGAAAAAATACATTATTAGTATAGTATATTAGTATATCCCATATAATTAGTATATTAATATATTGCTATTAACTTACTTCGCGTTGAATTTTCATCGATGTTAAGCCTAACAAAATTTTTTTTAAAATAATAATCGTTGCTATTGTATCATTAAAAATTATTTTAAAATTATTTTATTGCTCACAAAACAAACCACTCAGAATTAAAAAATTAAGCCTCGTTTAAATACTGACCTCCCTTTCATGGTCGAGCCATGTTGCCAGCTAAAATACTCAAAAATTTAACAAAAATAATATTAAAGTAGCCAAGACATAGCCAAATATTGTAGTGCCACATCACTAGCAGACATTTGAATTTGCTGACTAGAACGCGGTCAGTTAACTGATGTGACAGTTTATCGGGGGTCAGATAATCGATGCTCTACTGTAAATCTAAAAATCAAATGATATCAAAAAATAGTAATTCAGATTCTTTTATATTATTACAAATAAGGAATCTTTTTCAATATATAATAAAACAATTAAAAAGTTTAAATTTTTTTAAACATCTTTTCTATAGTATTCATATACTCCTGATTCAACTGTGTTTGCATGCATTTCCATTTCCTCTCCAAAATTCAATCTTTGAAAATGTTATTAGCTTTATTTCAAAAAGAATAAACTGTAAGTAGCAAAGAAAGAAGAAATGAAACTATTTTTAAGTACATAGCAATATAAATGTTTGCATTCTGTAAAGATAGTTTTAGTAATCTAGATTTTGTGTTAAGCAAGTTGAGAAAATTATCGTCTAGGCGTTAATAACCAACATCTATCGCTACAATAAGCGCTTTCAACGAAACTATTTTTGTCTTCTTCAGGTTAAAAGAACAGTTAATATCCTTCAAATTCAAATTACAGCAACGGCAAACCAGCATTGGAATAAAATCAAAATAGAACTAAAACAGAGAATTTAAAAGATGCGCGCTTGGTGCCGACGCGCATGAGCAATAGATTATTTTGCGAGAATGCTGAGCTAGCGCCGTTGTTTTAATCTGTTGTATAAGTTGACCCACAAGGAAGGCACATCCATCGTGGGGGTGTTGCATGGATTTAGCACGCTGGTAAACAGCGCTTCCCATATATACAAGATGTTGATTACTCATGAGGCATATTGAGCAAAGAGTGTTTAGCTTCCCCCTCACCATAGCATACCCACTATTATATCTTAGATACATGGACGATATCATAGTAGCCTGGCAACACACGGAAGAGGAGTTCCATATCCTCAAAAATTTTCTTATGGAGGTTTATTCTACCATCAAGTTTACCTGGGAAAAGGAAAAGGGAGGAGAAATTGCATTTTTAGATCTAAAGATCACCAAAGCCCAAGGTGAGATAGTGTTCTCCGTGTTCCATAAGTTCAACAGCATACCTCCTTTAATCCCTGCCACCGCGTACCAGCCGCAACACTACGTCAACACAGCTATCGCCCCTCTAGTTAGAAGGGCCTTTTTGTTGTCTTCCAATCAAGCCCTTGTCAACATCGAGCTTGAAGCTATAAGTGCAGCAATAAGTGCGGCTGGTTACATAGATCTAAGTACAGGTACTGTACATCCTTAGAAAGGTTAAAAGATCTCTATTTCCTGACACAACTTTACAGGCCTCGAAGAATGTACGATAATCCAGCCGCCATTACCATTCTGTGGCTGTATTACCGGCCGCGTTTGCCATATTTTTAGGCAGCATGCACTCTTCCTGCCAGTATCGCCGTGGCCAAACCTTAGAAGAATGTTATGCAATGACAGGGATCCTTTGTCTGTGCTAGAGCGGTCTGGAGTGTATTCCATCCCATTGGAAAGTACAACATCGGGTACTCATACCCAGTATATCGGAGCGACATCCAGAATGTTGTCTTGCCGCATCTCTGAACACAAACAATATTAGTATGGGTAGATGCGACACTGAGTTGGCAAGATTGGTGTTGCAACACCAATACTCTCCGAGGTGGGACCAGGTGGGGATACTCAAACAGTGTGATAGCAGAAACATCTTGTATATATGGGAGGCGCTGTTTACCAGCGTGCTAAGTCCATGCAACACCCCCACACTGGATATGCCTTCCTTGTGGGTCAACTTATACAACATATTAAAACAACGTCGCTAGCTCCACATTCTCGCAAAATAATCTATTGCTCATGCACGTCAGCACCGAGCACGCATCTTTTAAATTCTGCGTTTTAGTTCTATTTCGATTTTATTCCAATGCTGGTTTGCCGTTGCTGTAATTTGAATTTAAAGGATATTAACTGTTCTTTTAACCTGAAGAAGATGAAAATATTTTCGTTGAAAGCGCTCGTTGTTTGTAGCGATAGATGTTGGTTATTAACGCCTAGACGATAATTTTCTCAACTTGCTTATCTAATATCCGGTGTGAAGTCCAATAATAATTTTTCAGATTTTGTGTTCATAATGTTTTTGAAAAATTTACTGTTTTGAAAAATTAATATGCTTTCCAGTTGAATTTTAATTATTTTGAACAGATAAGTTTATTTACTATTTATTAGCAATATTTTTATAAGTGTAAGAATTATTTATCTTAAAACTGATTACTTAAATCCAAAAATTTACACTTAATGCATTGAAAACAAAGAGAAATCATGTGAGAAACAATTGAAAAATAGAAAAATAATACATATTTCATAATACAGCTTATCAGCATTAAATGAAAAACATCTGCAGATGACATACACCCTAAATTGGTCTAATAATCTAAATCCTCATTAATAGAGCTTTTAAAATTTTATCAAATTTGGCATTTACAAGATATTAAAATCAGAAACTATTATTTTTTTATAGTTCTGTAGTGTTGTGGGACTGTGAAAATTACAGCTCTCCTAAATCACTAGCCATCTACCAAGTCATCATATCAACATTTTTTTTTACTGAATCAACCATAAACCCATAAAGACTGAAGACATCACTTACAATTCAAATTCTTTGGGATATCATTATTATTATATCATCTAATCAGATATGTGAATTTTCTCTCTCTCTCTGGTGATGGCACAGATGTGAAATTAAATTTTTGCAAAGGTTTTTTTTTTTTTAATTTCTAGATTTAAATAAGTAGTTTATTTCTTTTCACTCTTTGTGGTGAAAAGAATTTCATTCAACACTGACCTTTCATAAAGGTGTGCCACAGTAAATTCTACTGAAGTTCGCACAGGCCATCACTTGGATCTTGAGACCTGTTTATACCATCAATCCTCACATTATGTATAACTTTTATTTTATTTAAAAATTAAAAGTAAAAAAATTAATTTTTTAAAATTCAAACATCAGGGTAAATAATAAAAACATCATATCTAATTTCTGAACATTAAGCTATTTTTCTACAAGTTTTTAGTGTTCAGCACTATTACATATTTTTAATTAAAATTTTTTTCTACAGTTTCTATTTCTTTAATTTTTTAGTTAAAAAAGTTGAGCATGTTTTACACTTAAATAAAGAACACAGCTGAATGACTTCATTAACTATCCTCAACTGTCACTGAAAATAAGAAATGTATAACAGTTTCACCCACATTTAGGGCTTGTTTTCTCAACACTTTTCATTTCTTAAGAAAATTTCAAGCAGGATTTCTCAAAAAACTTAATTTAAAAGTTGAAGATGAAAACATAGCTACATTTAAGGTAACCAAAAGGAAAGAGCCTAAGGAGTGCCATTACAACTGTGTGAATATCAGCTTTTTAAAAATGTTCTTTGAATTATTTTTTTTTGCTGTTAATTGTTGTGAATACTGTATACTAGTTATGTATTTTTGTAAATGTCTAAATTTATGTATAGAACTTCTTTGAAAAAGAAATCCATTTGTAATGCCAAAACAATCATCTAAAATCTGCCCACTTCCACATGACAAACATTTATTGGTTGCTGTTTGATGATGTTCAAACTGGTGATAAAAATAAGTCAATAATTTATTTGCTTAATTTTTATTAGAAAATAAATTTTTAATAGTAAGTCTTTATTTTGTCATCAATGGATATCTCATAATAAAGCCACTCAGTTTCCATAATTAAGCCCAGGGTTTATTAACAAAAATACCAATAAGTTAGATCATTGTATGATTATCTTTCTTCTTGTTTATATATATATAAACAAGAAGAAAGATACAGTGTATATATACAGAAGAAGAAAGATAATATACAGTGTATATATTTTACAGAAATTTAAAACTAAAAATTTTTAAAATGGTCAAAGATATTATTAAACTTTTCCTTTTCATTACTAATGTTATTTTATTTGATTTCAATTATTACCTCTCTAGATTAAATAATACTCTCTAACAAAAACAAAAAATTATAGTAATACAGCATACCTCCTCAAATATTGTATCAATTTCATTTAATAAGCTTTTAGATCTGAGAAACTTCATATCATTTTGTTTAAAATTTATTCCTTGGTAATCCAATGATTTTAAATAATATTTTTCATTTTGTTCTCTCCAAATTTTATTGAAACTTCTTTGAGCTTCTCTCCATTCTTCTTCTTTAGCCTTTAATCTAAAATTAAAAATTACATAAATAAATAAAACAAATTATAATATAATTTACAATTTAAAATAGAGAAAAATAAAACTATATTATTACCACATTTAAATCAAATATATATAAATACAGTATATAAAATTTATGATAGTTTTCTTTTAATATTTAACACCTTCATTTAAAACATTTAATTTATTATACAAATACAGTCGATCCCCTATAACACGATAGATATGTTCCGTTCTTTATGAAATTGATGTTTTATGAGTCCTTGAATACATGAGCCAATCACAGCCTGGCACATATGCAGTTTACGGACTATGGCTGTTTGAAAGGTTTTCTTCCATAAAATTAATCAATTCTAGACTAATTCGACTCAACATTTCCAAAATATGTATAATTTTTTGGGAAAAATCCATATAAACTATGCTATAAACAAAAAATTGTAGGATTACTTACCAAGTGTGCACCGTTCGACTACGCCATTGCTTAAATTTGTTTTCGTCATGGAGCTTGTCATCAAATGGCGCTCACATGTTTCCTGATAAATTATTTTTTTTGCGAAAAATTCACTGAACTTTGGAGACATCATTAATATAAATATAATTTTATGGCTGTTAAATAATAAATGGTTTTTAGTAGGTCCCCTGCTCGTTTAAACTCAATGGTTTGTACAATATCCGCTATTGGTCTAGATTCGACCAATCCTGTTGCGACATGAGTCGGCGATGACGTTTTACTGTATTTTATGAGTTTTTTTAGTGTGTTTGTACGAATACTGTTGCAATTTTTTCACTGTGATATAGGAATCCGAACTATATGAACTCATGTTATAGGGGGGGTCTACTGTATAAACTAATGATATCAAATGATTAAACAAAATATAATAAATTCCCAAAAAATTCATTATATTTTCTTTTTCAATACCTTTTTGTTATTCAGGAATCAGATCCATTTAATGTATACTAACAATACTTAAATATAAATAACTAACCTTCTTAAAACAAGTGGAACTGCAATAGATGGATTTTTTTTCAATCCTTCAATTATATCTCCAGCTTTATCACCATATATTCTATAAAAGAATTAATGCAGTTTAAATTTTAAAAATATTCCACATTTTCCACAATGATCTAATTAATTACAGCTTTCTTTCTGAAATAATTTAATATTTTATATATATTTTTTCAGTCTTTTTTCCACCCTTTTTATGCTAAAGTTAAAGAGAAAAATTATGTAAGAGTATTTTTTATGAATGAAAATTTTTTATACATGATTGGAAACTTTTGTTTATATGAAAGTTATGATTTTAAACATATCACACTAATATAAATAACATAAAACATGTCTAAAATGAATTTAAATGGTGCTGGCCAAAATATTCAATTTTACAGAGACATTTATTTTATTAATACAGGGAAAAAGAAAACAGTTGAAAAAGATACAACTACTGCTTCTCCTTCAAAGACATGATGAAAACATGTATACAATTTGAGTAAAGAACAATATAATTGAGAACAAAGAAATTATATCATTTTTTTATTCAAATTAAAGTTGAAGATGGCTAAATATAAGCTAAAAACATTTCTTTTCCAATACATCTTTCTGTTTTAATTGTTTTAACTAGCAATCTGCTGCATTTTTATAAAATTTTATGGAGATTTATTCATTATGATTTTTTATATTAATATAGTAAATATATTAATTAAAAATCTTCAAATGAGCAATTATTATTAGCGTATGTTGAAAGTGAATAAAAAATGTCAATATATAATATATACTTATATTAGAAATAGTATCAGAACTATTGCAATAGACAATCATCGATCAAATTATTTTCTATATGTTATTTATTGTTTATCTCAAATATTGATTTACGTAATATAATATTAATAAACATTTACCTTTTAATTGCTTGTTGATGAATTACTGTTGAAGTTCCTCCTAAAGTATCATCTAGTCGAAAATGAAGTTTTTCATCAGCAGTCATTCTTGCCATTTTTTTTTGTACAGCTTCTAATACCCGAATAGTAGAAAGATTGCTTTCTAACACTATATCCAACTATTAAAGTATATATATATAAAAAATCATCAGAAGGAAGCAAACTAAAAACAAATGTAAACATATGTAATTTATTCTAAGAAACAGTGTATCAAAACAGAAGCTTTTCACCTGATAATGAGAGACAAATCATCTCAAAAAACATTTAATAAGAATATATGGTGATTCCTTGATTATTATTAGCAGTTTTGATTTTCTCAAGGTTAATGATAATTAGTAGTAGCAAATAAATTATAATTTATTTTGATAAATAATAATTTACAGCTATTTTATAATTAGGTTTATTGGAATATCACATAATTTACATCTCATGCATTTTCAAATGTCTCTTCTTATCTTTAAAACTGGTTTAACAGTAACTTTATCTAATTTTTTTAAAAATACATAGAAAAACAAAGAACAGATCTCATATATTATTATCAAGAATGATTATGTAAGTAATAAAATACAGTATAATACACTGCAAATTATCATAACTTTTTCTGAATTATGTCATCATACAACTGTGAAAGTCAGAAATTTCGTGTTATAGACTTTAATCTTTTATAAATTTTAATTAAACTTTAAATGCAACTTTATAAAGATGGAACGAGTTATTAAAAAATAAAAAGAGAAACAGGAAAAATAAAATCAACAAAATCTGGTTAAACCTCGATTCTCATGAGTTGGATTCCTTGTTGAAATGAGTACATCTCTGTGTCACGATTGTGTCACCTGTCACCTCATTGGTCCAAGGAGATCGTTATCCCTGACAAAATCGGGGAAAGGCCCGAAAAAAGGACTTCATATAAAAAGGACAGGAATGATGAGTAAGGGGTGGAAGTTATGAATTGATTGTGTGTGTGTGACACATCCACCTCACGCTGAGATCAACTTTGAGAACTGTACCTGTATGTTTATTTCCTCGCCGACTTTAGAACATCAACGAACTTTGAACAACTGAACTTTAGAACATCAACAAACTTCAAGAGAACTACTTTGGAAAACCAGTATAAGTTAAGATATTTATCCTGCCCACACACTATTGTACGCGCTCTCTCTCTCTCTGCGTAAACTAATCGCGAACTTGATTGTAACCAGAAAACGGAAATGAAAAAAAGATCAATGCTGAATGCGATTCACTTAACTTATATTTAGCAATATACTAACTTTGTAACCTTAAATTATGATGTATAACTTAGATTTAATATAAATAAACGGTTATTTATGTTTAAAACATCTTAGAGTGCAGTTTCTTCCGTTCTTCTCTCCATTCACTCCATTCCAGGTCCAAAACTCATATGTAACCGCTCGCGCGAACTTGTGGTCTCTGTATCGACCTAAGGATACAGTGGTGTCATCCTGAAGTGGTATCGAAGAGATATTGACCCAACGGTCACACAACAATATTTTGTTCATTACTGTGTGATTCAAATTTATGTAAAAAAAATTAATGATCCATTTATTGTCTGTTAACAATGCTTTGTTAGAATCATAGTGACAATGTGATCTTTTTGCATATTAGTTTCAAAATTCATTCTGAAGAACATACAATAAAATGTAAGAATATATCTGTGATCCAATCAAAGTTAATGTATCAATTAATCTTGTTATGGCATAGGAATATATATTATAAATTATATTATAATATTAATGATCAAATATAAATTAATCAATATTTAAAAATATGTTAAAAAATATTTAAAAAATAAAAATATAAAAAATTATTTACTAAGTTTATTTACAGACAGTTCTTGACTTCTGAATTTTTATCTTTCAGACAACTCATTCTTTTGTGAATAATTTGCTATCTGATTCACTTTTCATTTGCCAAGTTTTCAATTTCATACATTTTTCAGCCAACGAATTAAAATTTTAAGCTATCATACAATGGAACTTTCTTTCAGTTTTGGTTTTTGTGACAGCAAACTCATTTTAAAAAATCAATTTTTATTATCTGTTTCTATTTCACTATTTTAAGTCTAATAGTAATTATTTTACCATTTCTTTTAGCAGCTTATTATTATCAATTTATTAATTTACAATAGTTGATCAAAACTGACCAAGAATTTCTAATGTGTATCTGAAACAGTAAGTCCACCTTGCTCTTATTATCATATATTTTATAGAGTGACATCTCCTGCATGTGGCAACATTGCAGTGAACAGCATCCAGATAGTCTTTACAGAGCAGCATATTCAGTCAGTAGGAAAGTGCAATAGGGTATACCATACAAGATTTTGTTCAATGAACATATCAAACCTGTTAAATTCACTCAACTATCATACTGTCACTTCAGTATGCCAATGGCAATGATAAATGCTGGAATTGAAGTAAGAAAAACAAACTGTGTGGACAAAATGGTCAATTGAAGAAAAATCAAGTCAAGGATTAAAAAATATATATATACACTCAATACATAAAACATAAAATCTTCATACTTTACAAAATAGTTATATAGGCTTCAAAATATTAATTGTATAACAAGAAAATTCAAATTTTTGGATAACACAAAGTACACAAGCGTGCAATTTGTTTAATACCAAGTATGAGTAAGTTATGAATATTTCCCATGATGCACATCCTCAGACATCAGTGGCTGGTGAAAACTGAGAAAGCTAAGCTGAATTTGTAAAATTGCTGTATTACAGTGTGAGATGTGGCCAAGGAAATTAATATCAGTTATAATAGTGTACAGAGCATTACTCATAATAACCTTTGCTTTTGAAAGGTCTTTGCCAAATGGGTTCCCAAAACTTTGATATTTCATCAGAAGATGGAAAGAATAGAGGCATCCAATCAGCTGTTGGAATGATACAAAGAAAGAAAAGATAGCTTCCTTGAGCAGATTATCATCTGTGATAAAATGAAAGTGTAACTTCACACACCTGAGAGCAAATGTATGAATATGGAATGAAGGCATAAGAATTCACTATATTCAAGGATCTCAATCCCAGATTGTCGCAGATTGAAAAGTCATTGCGAAATCTGGGAATGAGGTGGCATCATGTACATCAATTTTCTGGAAAATAAATTTACAGTCAATTCCCATTATTATTCCAATTTGTTTGAAAGCAAAGACAAATCTACCCTGTGGAATAAGTGACTTGAAACTATATTGGAATCATCCTGTTTCATGACCATTTACAACTCCCTACTGCTATCCACAGTGTTCAAACACTGACATCTCTTGATTGAGAGAGAAATTCTAGATCACCTACCATATAGATCCAATCCTTCATGGTGTGATTTGTGTTTGTGTGATCAAATATTTGAAGCCATGAAAGAGCATTTAAATCAGAAATTCTGTACCAACAAAAAAGTTTGAGCTATTGCTCAACTGGCTACAGCAGTCTCCAAATTTTTTTATCAAGGGAATACAATTACTACTATAAAGATGGAACAAATGTGTTGTGTTACCAGAGAGTACATATTTCATCCCTAAGAATGAATTTGTTCTTATTTTACAAACAAAATTCTGGGTCAGTTCTGATCAGCCCTAGTCAATACTTTGATTTAAAAGGCCAACAATTACCTCAAACCTCTCATCTTCACATCTGTAAATATATTCTTCATATTGTGTTTTTCGGGAACTGACAAAAGTGGAATCTTCAGACCAAGAAGGAAATGATACCCAAGTATCATTAAGAACCTATAAAAGATATTTTAAATTAAAATATAAAACTTTATTTTTATGCAAATTAAAGGTTTGTTGTATTTTAAATGTTAAATTACAAAATAAAGTATCCAAATATGAAAAATTAGTCAAAAGTTTCCTGTTATAAATTTTATGATATAATATAATAAATTTAGACTGGTTGAATAATTTTAACTTAGACAACTATTATTAATTAAAAATGTAAACTAACAAAATTTGACAAAGCATTTTAGATATTTGCAAATACAGTCAAACTTCTATATAGTGAAGTCACTAAATCCTAAATTAAGTTTACTGTAGGGATATTTTGTTATACAAAAGTTACACTTTTTGGTAAATAAATTGTTATTTTAACATAATTTTTTCATTATTTTATGTAATTTAAATTAATATAATATACAGTAATAATGTAATATAAATACAGCTTTAATTTTAAGTAATTTTACACTTATGTATTAAAACACTTACAACTTAGTAAATTACATTTTCGTAAAAAAAAACTATAATTTTTTGTTGCACAAAATTAAAAAATGCTCTTTTTCATAATATGCTTCACACTTATTAAGAGCAATAAAACTGCCTTATCTACAGTGATGTAAATGCAGGTTTTAGCATATTTTTTCATAACTCTTGCATCATCAACTAATTTCAAAATTGATTCATGATTTGTTATTATGGTTGATAAACTACTACAGAAATTCCAAACTTTACTATGTCTTTCTTTTTTGAGTCTTTATCAACTTTCTGCAACACATTAATTTTTTTAGTAATGTTTAAACACTATATTAACTGTTCTTGAAATTCCAACTGGACAACATATTAAGTAAAACAGCAAAACCATTTTTTAAATGACACTATGTCTCGGTGAGTGCAAGCAATGCATGTGCAAATCTCGCACTTGTGCCTGTTTGTAGAAACAGTCTCAGCATTTCATATTTTCTTTTGACCCAGTTCTCGATCCCCTGACTACCTACAAGTGTGGTTTATTTTGTGCGCGCATGATTTGGGCACCAAATACTCTGTGCCAAATTGCAACTCCTGACATGTACAGTACTCCTTCATACCTCTAAGGTGGGCAGTGTGATTTTAGAGACAAGACATAGTCTCGTCTCTAAAATCACACTAACCTCAAAAATTTGTCCAACAGTTGTCAAAATTATCACCTTTAATGTTTTTGATATTTGCAAATTGTAAATTATTTATGTCAACAACAGCATTTGAATCTAATCTCTCCCCTTCTTTACAACTGGTAGTCACATGAGGGGGGGTAGATTTTATGATGGTTTTAAAAACTAATGGACCAGTATTTCTCACATCTGGGCCACAGTTTCCCGAAGGGTTTACACATTAATATCTGAAACTGAACCTAAATTCGAACTGAACACAGATGGAGTAATTGACTTTAATGATCGATGGCCCTTACAAATTTTTTAAAAATTTGTTAAATAGAAATTTAACTTTGTTATTTAGAAACAATTTTACATTCATTTTTGGCTGAAAAAAACAGTATGCCATGCAAAATTTCATTATATTGAAAAAATTTGTTATATATAAGTTGGTAATATGGAAGTTTGACTGCAGATAGTTTAAGCAGTAGATTTATCATTTAATTTTTGATGATTTTGAAAATTAGTAAACATCAGCAATCATTCTGTTATTAAAGAAACTTAATAAATGATAAAAAATATTAAAAATTTATTATTCGAAAACATTCAATTGTTTCTATTATGAATGATTCATAGGAAGTTGAAAAATCACCTAAAATTTATAAATTATAAAATCCAAAATAATCAAAATATTTATTAATTTAATATTTAATAAAACAGAATTAAATGTTTAGAACTTTAATTTAAAAATAATAATTTATAATAATAATAATAATAACTCTCCCGTGGTCATCATCTGGTCGTGGTGGGAGAGCCCAGTAATTTTACTGAACCATAGGGCAATGCAGGCTGGAGCACAAGCTCCTGGTAGGGACAGTCATGCCAGTAAGGTCTATGGGGAGAAATGACTAAGAGTGACCACACACCCACATTCTGTGGAGAAATTTATGATGGTAGTAACCAGATCTAAGTATGATACCGGCTCGGACGTCGCCCGGGTTAACAAGGTCCGCGTTCATGGGTTAGGCAGAGGCTCACGTTCGAAAAATAGGCTCCAGTCTCCCTTGGTTACCGGTGGTGAAAGCAGCGCCGGCCCAAGCATGGCTACTGCAATGCCCTCAACAGATGTGAGGAATCAACCTAGCCTTGGTGTTTCTGTGGCAATGCATCCACAGACCACAAAGGCTGGAAAACCACGCCAACGGATGAAATGGACAACAGAAATGAACGAGTTTATCATCCGCACTTACTACACCATCACAAGACTCGAAACAAACATGACAGCATACAGACAACAACTACACCACATATTCACACAACAATATCCTCACCTCACTGTCACCGAACAAAGGGTTGTTGATCAAAAACGAACAATTATACACAACAACCTTATCCCACAAACAACACTTGAACTTATCAAACAACAGGTTGCTGATCAAATACATCAACAGACAGAAACATTTAACATTAATGAAGATCACGTAACCTGTCAGGATAATCCAGCAACAAGCACTGATTACAGCACACACACAACAAGTACCACTAATGATACTGCAGGCACTTCCCCATCCATCACTGATAACATAGACATAGAATTAGTTAATACGCTCTCACTTATATTTCAGGAAACACTCATTAAATATACTGGTACAGATCCCACACAAAGACCACGAATACCGAAAATCAACACGTCAAAGGTAGTAGGAAAAACACTAAATTATGTAAACACTCACTTACTACCAAACTACATTCATTCAATTTCTACACTCTCAGACATTCATACATTAGTTTATGCTGGGGCAGTCACAGTAGTAACACACCATGGACTGAAAATACACTCACAGACAGACACACACAAAACACAATTCTATCACAAGCCTGCCTGGCAGAGAAGAATAGAAACACAAATAAATGACATTAGACAGCAATTAGGCAGGCTGACACAATACACTAAAAACAACATAACACCCAAATTAAAGAAACAACTCAAAAACATTTTCAAGAAAATCAAAACTCACACAAAACATGAACATCACAACACACACATTACAGAATACATTGATACACTAAAACAAAAATCTGCAGCTAAAGAACGTAGACTCAAAAGATACAAAACATGTACACTGCAAAAACAACAAAATAAATTATTTACAAACAATGAAGAACTCTTTTACAGACAAATTGGTAACAAAACAAACACTGATACACAGCACAGTGGCACACCAACAGAAGAAGTCACAACATATTGGTCTTCTCTTTGGTCCAGTGCTGTCACACACAATGCTGATGCAGGTTGGATTGAGGAGGAGAACAGAAACTTGCACAACATACTAAATATGCCCTGTGCTGAAATAAACGTACACGACATTCGCTACGCTGTTAACAGAACACACAATTGGAAAACACCTGGTGTAGATAACATTCACAATTTCTGGTACAAAAAATTTACATCACTGCACCAGGAACTAGCCAAACATCTAACACACACCATCATCAATCCACAAGACATGCCAAAATTTCTTACTCAGGGCATCACCTACATGAAACCTAAAAACAACAAAACCACAGACCCCACACAATACAGACCAATTACATGTCTTCCAACACTCTACAAATTATTGACATCCTGTATCACAAACAAAATATACAAACATGTTGAAGAACACGACATTCTTACAGAACAACAAAAAGGTTGCCGTAGAAATCACAGGGGATGCAAAGAACAGTTACTCATAGATTCAGTCATTCTACGGCAAGCACACAAACAACACAGAAACATACACATGGCATATATAGACTACAGAAAAGCATTCGACAGTGTTCCACACAGTTGGCTGCTACATATTCTACACATGTACAAAATACATCCATCACTCATTGCATTCTTCGAAAACACTATGCAGCACTGGAGAACAACACTACATCTCAGGGTTAGTAACACTTCCATACAAACAAACGAAATATTCATTAGGCGAGGAATTTTTCAAGGAGATTCCTTGAGTCCTCTCTGGTTCTGCCTAGCCCTGAATCCATTATCCAACATGTTAAACAACACGCAATACGGCTACAATATCAGACACGAAAAAACAACACAGTTTACACTCTCACATCTCATGTACATGGACGACATAAAACTTTATGCATCCACACAAAAACAACTTCATCAACTCCTACAAATCACACATTCATACACTAAGGACATACAAATGGAGTTTGGCCTAGACAAATGCAAAAAACTTCACATAGAAAAAGGAATCCTGAAGAAAGAAGATTTTGCACTTGGAAATGGAGACGTTATTGAATCCATGGAAGAGGGCGAGTTCTACAAGTACTTAGGATTCCAACAGGCCAAACTAACAGAACATACACAAATAAAGCAACGATTAATTAAAGAATACCAAAGTAGGTTAAACGCTATACTTAGAACACAGTTAAATGCAAAACACACAGTTAAAGCAATAAACACATATGTCATCCCAGTACTCACATACTCTTTTGGAGTTATACATTGGACTCACACAGATCTCGAGCAACTCCAAAGGAAAACAAGAACAACACTTACTAAGCATAAACAACATCATCCTAAATCCGCCACAGAAAGATTAACCCTTCCACGTAAAGAAGGCGGACGTGGCCTGATTGACATAGTTAACCTTCACTACAAACAAATACAGTCACTGCGAGAGTTTTTCTACAAGAAACAAGAAACATCACAGTTACATAAAGCAGTAACTCTAGCAGACTCAAATAACACACCATTAAACTTACACTCACATCATACAGACATGACACAACACATAAAAAGCATAGACACCATCAAGCAATCGTGGGCTCGAAAGGCACTCCATGGCAGGCATCCTTATGACCTGGCCCAGGATTTTGTTGACAAAACTGCGTCAAACAGCTGGTTAGATCGGGGATGCCTCTTTGGGGAGACGGAAGGATTCATGATTGCCATACAGGATCAGGTCATAAATACTAAAAACTACAGAAAACACATACTCAAAGATACAACACTCACAAATGACACATGCAGAAAATGTCACATCATGCCAGAAACTATACAACACATCACTTCTGGTTGCAAGCTCTTGGCACAGACAGATTACTTACATAGACACAATCAAGTAGCAAATATAATACACCAAGAGCTTGCAAAGAAACACAAATTGGCAGACATCCACGAACCATACTACAAGTATATTCCACAGACAGTATTAGAAAACAACACGCACAAAATGTACTACGACAGAGCCATAATCACAGATAAAACAATTTACCACAACAGACCAGACATCACACTCATTGACAAACACAATAAAATCACATACATTATAGACATAGCCATTCCAAACACTCACAATGTACAAAACACATGCACTGAAAAAATTAGCAAGTACACAGAACTCGCCCAGGAAATAAGGCATCTGTGGAGGATGGGTAAAATGCTTATTGTACCTGTTGTTCTCTCCTTTACAGGTGTGATACCACACACACTACACAAAAGCCTGGGAACATTACAATTGAATAGAAATACATACATAAAAGTACAGAAGGCCACTATATTGAATACATGCCACATTCTTAGGAAATTCCTGAATACAGACTCTGACACACACATTTAATTTTAGTTTTGTTTTGTTTGCTATGCCTTGACTCTTGTCCGGTATAGTACACAGCCAGCGGTGTAAACCGAGTAGAACCCACTAAACCCAACATAATAATAATAAGCTTATTGTACCTGTCGTTCTCTCCTGTACAGGTGTGATACCACACGCACTACACAAAATCCTGGGAACATTACAATTGAGTAGAAATACATAAATCACACTACAGAAGACTACTATATTGAATACATGCCACATTGTTAGGAAATTCCTGAATACAGACACACACACTGACACACTTATATAATTTTAGTTTTGTTTTGGTTGCTATGCCTTGACTCTGGTCCGGCATAGTACACAGCCACCGGTGTGAACCAAGTAGAACCCACTAAACCCAACATAATAATAATAATTCCCATAATACCCACTAAACCCAAAATAATAATAATAATAAGAATAAATGTAAAATCTAACCTCTTTGCAAAGAGGTGTTCGACCACTGCATTTCAACTGAACATAATTTTTGGGCAAAGCTCTGTAACTTGCTCCATATTTTTTACATGATGAATAATCTAAAAATAATTAAAAAAAACAAGTTAAAGCAATTTAATTAATGAAAATTATATACCAAGAGTTCTGTAAAAACTGAGATTTTAACATACCACACATACCAATTTCCATTGCAAAATCACCACCAATTCTTTCTCTTTCCTGGCTAACAGTTTTATTAGTGATACCATCTATGGCACTTCCTGACTCTTTATGACCAATAAAATCTTTGAACCATTTAAACAGTTCATTGTATTTCCTATAATGTTGAGTGTTAGTATTTATAAATAATATATAAATATAATGATGTTAAAAATTTTACCCAAGAAAAGGTGTCACCAAATGAACCAATTCACTTCTTGAAATAACTTCATTATTGTATACTACTATACATCTTAAAAAATTCTCATAAGCTTCCTGACTTCGTAGTGCTTTTCGAACCTGAATTCAAAATTTTTATTAAATTTATTTATTTAATTAATATTGCATTGCAATAGAATAGACTTGAACAATTTTTGATGGATTTAAAACTAAACATGATGAGAATATAGCAAATTCCCAACTCTTTTCTTGATATAACTTCAGCAATTTCATTCTGTTTTTCATATTTATATGCTTTATTATTATAAACAGTTATAAAATAAATAAATAATTTAAATACATTTAAATGTTTACTTTTATAAATTTGTATTAGAATACAATATTTAAAAAAGTTTATTAAATTATTTTATATAAAAATAAATTTAACAAACTAATAGTAAGAATATCAACTTTTTGGAATCAATGAACAAGTTCAAACTTAATTTATTTTTAAGTAAAATAAATGTAGTTTAGTCTTGTTGATATCATGCCAACATTTTTGACATGTTCAATGAAGTGTCCATACTATTTTAAGCATCTTTGAGAATAACTTAATTTCTTTAAATTTACTTTAGTAATATTTTGAAGTTCTGTGTTAGATCTCTCTTTAAACACAATATTTCTGAAAGAATTCAGAAAATTAGTTTCTCAAAAATAAGAGACTAAAATGATTATGTCTGGAAACATTTAAAATTATATTTTAAAAATGTGAATAAATTTTTTGATAAAAAGATAAAAAAAAAACTTCAACATTACTTTAATACAGCTCAATAATTGAGTAAAGTATTAAGGCATGTTGTTATAAAGACAAGTGAATAAAATCTGTAAATTAAGAAGTGATTTTTTTTCCTATAATAAGAAAGATAAAATCTTGCTTTAAAAATGCTCTAATTTTTTTGATAATCTGGATTTTATGTATAAATTGGTTCAAAAATTATATTAAAAGAAATACAGAAGCATCCTGTTCAAAAAATAGTCCACAAAAACCAAAAGGAAAAAATTCTTTCATCCATCAGTTCAAAAAAAAACATGCATATAACATTCTCAAAACTAAATAAATAGGTTATTTTAGAAATAAATTAAATTAATGAATAAATTAACACCTGAAATAATATTCAAAAACAAAGTGTGCATTTTTACCTAGAAAAATGGGTAAGCCCATTCCAGATCAAATTCATTCATCTACCAACCAAAAATTCCAGCACTAATGACTATCATACTTAGATATATTTAAGAACTAGATTAGAATCTAATAAAAATTAACTCATCTCAATATGAACTTTGAAATGAGCTAATTTTTATAATCTTTTAGACATGAAAAGAACTCTTTAGAAAGAAATTTCAAAAACATTTATTAAAATTGAAATGACTGACATTTATTATGATTGAATTAAATTCAGTTAAATTTTATCAAAAACATACATTGTCTTAAAACAATGCAATTCACTGAATAAGTATTTAGAAAATATTAAATAAACTTTCCACTATTTATATTAGAGTTGTAAGAATTTCTTATAATAGCTTTAATATTACAAGACAGATTCCATACTTTTATGTTTATGTTTCATGTTTATGCCTGTATGCTAGATTAAAGCAAAAATGCACACAAAACTTCAAATATTAGATATGTTTTCGATCTACAACAAATGTAAAATTTGTCTACTAACTTACTATTATATTAAGATGTTTTATCCCTGAACTTATTTTCTTAATACAGTCAAACCTTCGGTTTTGAATGCCTTGCTTTTCAAACAATTCAGTTTATGAACTAAATTTTGAACTAATTTTTGTACCCAGTTGCTGTATGATAACTTGCTTGACAAACAAACTATTTGGCAGAGCTGGCCATCGTGAGATAATCTGCAAGTTAGGAAGTTTGTCCCTAACCTTTCAGTGGTGTTGGAACAATGAGTCCTATTCTCTTGTCACTAGATGGCTATCTGAATTTGAAATAATAAGTAGGAAGGCTGTATATCGAGTGGGAAAACTGTGGATAAGTCAATAGGGTGACCGGTCCTAGCAATAACAAATATCAACACCAATTAAATAAAACAACAAATTTAATAAGTAACATAAAGGAGTTAAATATGAAGGCTGTTTCTTTTTCAACCTCCGATGATCCATAAAACAAAGACAAGTGTAAATAACAAAATGAATTTATTACCAAAAGTTAGGTGCAAACATGGTTACTTTTCGACATAATCACTGTGAAGATTAAAGCATTTGTCATAAATTTTCCATCCCCTCTTCAAAGAATCTTGCCGCCAGTGAATCAAGATGGCCTTAAGATTATTTTGAAGATCATCATTAGTCTCAAACCTCTACCCTCCTAGCCATGTTTTCTGTTCAGTAAAGATGAGGAAATCGCTCAGCACTAAATCGTAGCTTCCATCACCTTTAAACACGCTGGGTGTTTAAAGGTGATGGAAGACTTCCACCCAGCTTAAAACTTTTTAATGTGTGAAGACTTCCACCTCTTTCCTGAAATGAAAACGTGGCTAGCAGGGCAGATGTTTGAGACTAATGATGATCTTCAAAACAATGTTAGGACTCATCTCATATTGGTGGCAACATTCTATGAAGAGAGGATTTTCAAAGCTCTCTCAAATAGACAAATGCCTCAATCTTCACAGTGATTATGTCAAAAAGTAATCATGTTTGTACTTAACTTTTGGTAATAAATTCATTTTGTTATTTACATTTATCTTTGTTTTATGGATCATCAGAGGTTGAAAAAGAAACAGCCTTCATACATATACAAAGGTTACAATCAACAAGTTAGAAACTTAACAACTAATATACTGAGAGAGAGTTTACATAAATCTATATTGGATACCTCTTAAATAGTCAAATGTCTTTCTGATCCTGGTTATATGAAAGTCAGTGAGACAATTATGGATCTTCTCAGGATGAGGAGATGGGAGATGAGAGCCTCAGTTCAGCTTCTAGGTGGAGTCTGCCCTGAACTTGAGTGGGAGCTCCTTATATCCTCATTGAGTGTGGGAATTTAATCAGGTGACTTACACTGTAGTGATACTAAGTTCAAGATGTGCCATCAATTTGACGGATGAGGGCCGTAAGAATTTGATGACCCAGGCAGATTGTTTATATTCTCCAACAGGTGCTGTGACTCTTCTTACGATATAATTTAAACAAATTTGCAGTTCTTAGATGTCAACAATCAAGTGTTGGTATTTATCTTATAACCTTCTCAAAACAAAGGGTGAGACTGTTGCTTTTGCTAAGACATTCGCTCGTCTCTTGTTTATCTGACCAGAGGGCAACAGAAATGCCAGGTGGAGATCTGGGTTTTTTCCATGCTACAATTAATCTAATTACTTAATTGCCCCCAGAATCTCACACCACCAATGGTCAATTCCCTATATTTCCCATGTTCAAGAAAGTCAACAGCCCAACCAATCAATGACAGGACTACTGATTCAGAACTTAGTTGTGCCAAGATTCCGTTGCATCACAATAAGAATCATCAATGACATTGCTATTTAAATTACATTTCAATGTGCATGTAGGAAAGCTACCGTGTTTCCCCGAAAATAAGACAGTGTCTTATATTAATTTTTGCTCTGAAAAGTGCACTAGTTCTTATTTTCAGGGAATGTCTTATTTTTTCCAGGAAGAAGAATTCACATTTATTATTGAACAAAAAAATTCCCAAGTCGAACTTAGACGAGAGTGACGTATATCCGATGTGTTAAACTGTCGCCTTTTTATAGCGTCAACAACGGACTCGATGATCAATTAGTGCTTACTGAACTGTAGCACTGTGCAAATGTAATGTGGCGTTATTCCCGGCCGACCAATTAGCCATCACCAGCCGTAACGTTATGCAAATCTGTGATTCCCAAGCCATAGTCTTATGCAAATCATGCTGTGTGGCATAATTGTCTGCTGACCAATCAGTGGCTGTACTTTCAAAAAGCCAACGGCCATTTTCAACCATCTGTCAATGACCGATAGGACTAAAAAAAACTTCGCTAGGTCTTACTTTCAGGGGGAGGTCTTATATTTCGCAATTCAGCAAAATCTGTGCTAGGTCTTATTTTCTGCGGATGTCTTATTTTCGGGGAAACACGGTACTACATTTGTATTTTGGTACACACCACAGTTGAATTTAAATCAAATTAATTAATAAAAACTATATTAATTGACATTCATGTAATATAAATGGCATTCAAGAATTCATGTTTAAATATGTTTAAGTTACATTAAATGACAAAAATTTATTATTATTATTATTATTATATTATAAATTGTCATTGGTGTGACTCCAGAGTCTACTGTTTGTGCTCGAGGAGGGAGGATGTGTTAAATTGTGCTCTGTGGAATTTTTGTGATTGTGCCGAAAGTATTAATTGCATTACATCTTAGAGGATACTAATGTAATCTACTCTGGATCCTGGTTCGTTTGACATATATATTGTTAAAGTATGCTAATTGGGAAATAATTAATTAATTTTTATTTTAGTAAAATTCTATCGGGGGGTTTAATCTCTGGGGGCGGCATCAAGGGGTTAGTTAAAAGTTAGCTTAGGCAATAAGATCCTAAAAGGGGGTAGCGCTTAATATTAATCAAATTATAAGGGTTTAAGGTTTTACAGTGGAGATTAAGTGTTAAATTTTAAATTTTAGACGGCTATAATGGACTTTAACGGTGTTTTAACATCCTTTAGCGAATTTTTTTAATGGGTGTAATGGCTATTAATCACAGCAACTATAACTTTTATTTTGACGGTTAAGGAATTAATTGTAAGAATAGATTTAACTTAATTTATAGTATAACGGAATTGATTATTTTAATGATGCTATTAATAATTTTCGTCACTTTATCGAATTTAAATGTAATATTTTACTTTCTGGGGTTAACGGTCACGTTATTAAGTTTTTGGACAATATAATAGTAAGTTTTAAATATTTTTGGTGTATATTTATTTTACTCCAGCACATCTAGGTGGGGTTAGGCATGTTACATTTCAGAACTGTTAAGATAATAAATTACGAGGGGTTGCGGGGGAGACGAGGAGAAGGAGTGAGAGAAAGGGGAGAAGTGCAAGGGGAGAAGTGAGGCAGGGAGTTAGAGTTTTTTTTTTTTCCTTCAAAGTTTTGTGTAGCTAGGCCTAATTTTAGGGTTAGCTCAGCCTTGGTAAGTATTTTCTTATCTGCCAGCCAGATTATTTTTTCCCTCTGTGCTGCCAAACGTCAGTTTGTCGACACAGAGTCTCTCGGGCATTGAGCCTCCTGTTGCTACCACAAATACATCTACACTACATCTTTCCTGGCTGGCGGTTTCTCTATATACAATTACATTTTGTACTACTGCACTTTTGTGTTCAAGTGTGTTAACTGCTCATCATGGACTCTCGTATACTCTCAATATTTCTTGAGGATGCTTATCGTATCGCCGATGAAGTTAAGGGGTACATTGTGGACAACCCTAAAGGGCGCCTCAGTACCGAGGCTCATACAAGATACTTCTCAAACCAGATACAGAAGATCATCGACCTGGCGGAAACCACCATCAAAACCTGCATACTGGTAAAACCTGTGTCCTCAGCTACAAAGGAAGTTTCTCCAAGTGAACCTTCTTCTCAGGAAGGATCTGAGGTGCTTTCACATACCAATGATAAGAAGAAGAATAAGGCAGCAAGTGCTCCTTCTGGTAGCACTCCGGTCGGCAAGGGACTGCAGTCTTCCTGCCTCAAAGACTCTCTCATCACATGCATGACTTCCCCAATTCCTATTCTCCTGCCGCCTAAAACGAGCTGTTCGTCTGACCACTATCACCCAGATCTCAACCACAAACTCACAGAAATAATCACTAAGTTGGATGGTCTTACCAAAAGTAATGACAACATTACCAAAAATGTTAATAGCATAGCTGAGATGCTATGTCATAATGCTCCTAGAGAACAAATTGAGAATATAACTGGGAAACTTGAAGAGCTCCTAAACAATGGTCCTGGTGCAAGAAATTCTGAAAAACCAAACGTGCATACAGGAAAAAATGGATTTGTTCCTCACCTCTCCAGCATCCTACAGCACCATTCTGCAATCTGGGAAGACTCTAAACTCTACCAACAACCCAAAAACCACAAAGACTCCCGCTGGCAGCACTGAGGTAATACTTCTATATCATAAGAGCGATGACAGAAGTTGTAATAAACTGAGGAAAATAATATATGATAAGGTGAAGCCATCCCAATTGAACATTGGTGTAGACAAAATTAGAAACATTGGAAACGGTGGCTTGGCTGTCGAGTTAAAGAAGGCTGCAGATGCCGATAAGCTTAAAACTTTTATTGAAGACAAAATCCCTGAGATCATCGTGAAGAAGCCTAGAAAACGCCTACCTAACATAGTGATATACTCTGTGCCTGCACAGATTCCCCAGGAAGAACTGGCACTTCTAATTTATAATCAGAATGACGTTATAAGTGAAAACTACACTGAAGACCAATTTAGAGAAGCTCTCAATATTAAGTTTGCTATGGGGAAGAAAGCTGATGTGCACATAAACTGGGTGGCTGAAGTGACACCTCAACTACGCAAACATTTGTTAATCTCGGGCAAACTAAACCTTGAATGGTCCAGGTGCAGAATCGCGGACTTTTGTCCCATTCTGCAATGTTTCCGATGCTGCCGTTTTGGCCATTCTACGAAAAGTTGCAGCCAAACTGTCGCCACCTGCAGTCACTGCAGCAGAGAGCACTCTTACAAGAACTGTAATAATAAGGACAAAACACCTACGTGTATTAACTGTAACTGTGTGCATGGCAAGGTTGGAAATGCTGAACACAACGCTCGGGACAGCTCATGTCACATATTTCAGAAAATTAAATCCAATCTAATAAGACAGACCGATTACGGATCAGCAAAATAAAAACAAAATTAGTTTCCTGCAGTTCAATGCTGGAAGGAGCATTGCTGCAACTTCCATTCTAACTTCTATCATTAATAACTACGACCTAATCTTATGTCAGGAGCCTTACTGTGTGAAAAATCAACCCGCCTGTCTTCCGACTAATTGTACCCCACTCAGGGGCACCTCAGATTACCCCTGGGCTGTGACTATTGCAGTAAACAACTGCCTCTCTATTCTTCATCACGGAACCCTGAGCACTCAGTACATCTACTGCTCTGAACTTATAATAGACGACCAGAGGTATATTATTATAAATTATTATTCTCCCAAAGACATAGACTTCAAGTAAATCCTTAGCAACATCCAAAGTATCATGGACACCTTTACTAATGCATATTTTATCGTTGCTGGAAATACCAATGCCCACTCCCCTACTTGGGGAGGGGAGTGCCTGGACAGCCGCGGCCGTCTCCTTGAAAATTTTTACGCTCGCAATAGCCTGCTGATACTCAACAATCCCAATTCTCCACCTACCTTCACATCAAGCCGGGGTCACAGCTGGATTGATGTGACGGCCTGCTCTACTGAATGCTTCCCTCTCATCAGTGACTGGAAGATTCTAGATGATTCAGTTGATGACCATGCTTTTATATCTTTTACCATTGGAGTTAACTCTCCCGGTCTCTCTCACCGACGTCTAAAATACAGCCTGAAACATGCCAATTGGTCTGCCCTTCAATTATTTCTCGAGGATAATCTAGTGCCTTGTGATCACGATGACCCCAACGTGGTCCGTGTACAAATCGATCACAACATTGAGGTTATCAACACGGCATGCAGTTCACATATTCCCATGTACACCAACAAGCGTAAACCAGTCCCGTGGTGGACATCTGAGCTGACAGGCCTTAGGAAGGAAAATATCCGTCTGAGGAAAAAATATCAAAACTGCCATACCGAACCTAATCGCACCAACCATAAGCAGCTATACTTTGACCATCTTCACCTTGTACAAAAACAAAATAAAGCATGCAAAACAGGAGTCTTGGAAAAATTTCTGTGCCTCTACCACTAGGAACCCATGGGGTTTCATCACAAAATTTTGTACCGGGAAGCTGAAACGTCAACCAATTCTGCACTCAGACACTGCCGGGGAAGATTTCTTTCATGCTGCAAACAAGAAAATAGACAGTTTTTGTCTGGAAGACCCATTGGACAACGACACCAACTCACATCTTATGATTCGCCAAAATATTGACCTCAATACCCACACTCCAAACGATCCAGAATTCTGTACCCACGAGATTAATAATGCATTCCACAGACTTGGTAACAAGAAATCACCGGGTCATGACAACATCACTCTAGAATTGGCAAAAATCCTCTGGAGTCTTATTCCTTTGCAGCTCTCCCAGCTTTACAATGCCTGCCTCAGGCATGGCATCTTTCCTCAGACCTGGAAACTAGCCAGGATCGTCCCTGTTCCTAAGCCTGGGAACACTTCTGAAAGCAGGCCTATCTCTCTCTTGCCAGTTCTTGGCAAAATCCTTGAAAAGCTGGTAAACAATAGGTTAATGTGGCACCTAGAGTCCAATAACATTCTCCATGACTCTCAGTTTGGCTTTCGGCCATAGAGGTCAACTGCTAATGCCATCAATAAAGCTATCAACTCGGTGAACCACCTTCTTGAAGATTATAATTACGTTCTGGCCATCAGTCTAGACATCGTCAAGGCATTTGACAGTGCCTGGTGGCCAATGATCCTTCAAAACCTCAGAAATATGAACTGCCCGGCAAATATATATAATCTACTACGTGATTATTTAAAAGACAGAACAGCCACTCTTCAATGTGGAGAACACATCATTCGACAGAAAATCGTCCGCGGCTGCCCTCAGGGTTCCGTATGCGGACCGATTCTTTGGAATGTGATTTTTAATGACTTTCTTGTTCAAGACTTTGGACAGCATGGCACAGTGGCCTATGCCGACGATGCCCTAGTCCTTCTTGGGGGCAGCTCTAGAGCAGCCTTAGAAAAGAATGGCAATAATATCCTGGACAAAATACTAAAATGGGGGAAAGAGTACAAACTGGAATTTAATGCCCGAAAAACCAAGTGCGTTGTGTTCAATAAACCCGGAAACAGAAATCTCTATTTGCGTGTTCCCACAATTAAAATGGCTGGACAAACAATTCCTGTAGACAAGAACATTAAGTACCTGGGTGTGGTTCTGGATCACAGGCTGCTCTGGAACGCCCATACTGAGTATATCACCGCACGGACTGGCAGGATTTTTCATACTTTTGCTGTCATTGCAAGGCAACGTTGGGGATTGAACTCGGAAGCCATGGATACCATATACAACCAGATCTTTGTCCCAATCATCACATACGCCTGCGGCAGCTGGGGGTGGGCTGTTCGCAAGGTGCACATCAAGCGCAAACTTATTGCTGCACAAAGAACTGCCTTAATGCATATTACCAAAGCTTACTCCACAACCCCAAACCCTTCTCTTCAAATCCTTGCGAGGAAGGCACCTATTGACAGTTACATCCGACTACAAGAGAAAATCTGGCAGTTAAAGTGGGGCAACACCATCCATGTCAATAATCAACAAATACATCGTCAAGAGTTAGAACGACCAGTCCAATTCGCTGATACTAAACACCCTGCTTCTCTTAAGAAACTAAACTTCTCGCGACCTGATGATGCTGATATTCAAATCTTTACAGATGGATCTAAGACCAATTCTAATGTGGGCAGTAGCTATGTGGTCTACCGGGACAATGTGGAGACTGCCTCAGGGCAGTTCAAGCTTGGTGCCGGCTGCACAGCCTTTCAGGCTGAAATGTATGCAATCAAAATGGCCATTGCCTGGTCTGACTCAAATTATACCAATACTAAAGTGTCCATCATCTCAGACAGTCAATCCTCTATAGCCTTGCTCAATAGTCAAGCTTCTCACCCTATCTCAGCTAGTATCCACGACATCATTAACAATTCCAATAATATCTATCACGTCAGCTGGACTCGTGCCCATCAGGGCACACTTGGTAATGAGAGGGCCGACATACTTGCAAAGACTGCCAGTGAAGACGACAATCTCCGGATCTGCTATAATAGCCCTACCATTAAAACTATCAAGAATATGCTTTGGAAAGACCTACTTCAGCAGTGGCAACATGATTGGAACACGCTTAACCATCCAATTACTCACAAATTTATTCCCAATATTGAACTATTTCTCTCAAACAATTGGTACAAACCATGTCATCGTATGTCTCAATTTTTAACAAATCATGGCAGGTTCCAGTCTTACCTGGCCAGATTTATCGGAGCTGCAAACTCTGATTGTCCTCTTTGTGGTGTGGACGACAGCTCGGATCATTATATCTTCAACTGTCCTATGTTGGATCACGAAAGGCACTTTCTGAGGTCCTCTATGGAGGCGCACGGATACCGCTGGCCCAATGAATCCCACGGTATCCTGGACAATAAAGACGCCTATGAGGCCCTCACAAGGCTCATCAGTGCATACTTTTATCGCACCACCGTTCCTGGATACAAATAACCTTTCTCATTATCTCATTAACGGTGTTGTATTGTCTTATTTTTATTGCTACAGGTACTATTACTTTGTAACACACTGTTTTCTTTTTTTTTTTAAATTTCTTAACGTATTATATGTTTTGCTTACTGAATTTTATATTATTGTTTATGTATTTTAATTTTCTCAAATAAGTTATTGTAAATTTAGTTAATTGCTATTGTATCATGTTTCTACTGAAATATTGTGTTATACTTTGTCTGCATTATTATTCTATAATGTATTGTATTTTGTTATTTACATTCTGTATTTTGTGATTCTCTGCTATATAATATTTTAATACATATGTTTTCTGTATCATACAACTTGTTATTTTATCCCCATCTTTTGTATATTCTTCACATGTAATGTTACTATAGCCTCTAATGTTAATGATCTGTAATAATGCCAATATGTTCTTGTCTGCACCTGGTTATACGTCTATGGCACCAGGTATGTACTGTAAGTCAGTATTTTATTAATAAAATGAATCTGAATCTGAATCTGGTGTGACTCCAAAGACTTTTCATTATTACACATACTGAAAGACTGTGAGAACTTTACTCAAATATGAAAGTTATTCGGAATATCTTACATAATACAGCAAAGTTCAACTCAAGAATTTAGAGAAAACCTAAATAAACTCTCAAAGAAAGAGCTGTATAACTTGTATAATTTTGTAATTAAAATTGTTAAGGAAGATTTAACTACCAAATAATAGATAAAATCTAAGAACTTGTAAGAAAAATAATTATTGGTGTAAATTTTTGAATTATTGTTTGTAATATGTATATTTTCTTTTTGATAATTGTAATTACTTAGCCCCTGAGTAACAGGGTTCCCACTCTTTATACTAATAAAAATTGATGATNTGCTCATCCACTATTGGTCCAGACTCTATCAATCTTGTCGCGAAACGACGTTATAGGAAAGTTGCTACAATTTTTTCGCTACGTTATAGGAATTGTCGTTATAGGAACGTACGTTATAGGGGGGTCGACTGTACAGTATTTTAACTAGGACAATTGGAGCACACGATGCAGAAAGAAAACACTTACAATATAGTCATTTTAATATAACAAGTAAAATAACAACACAAACCCTCAAACTATCTATTTATAGATGTCGCTTAGAGTAATGAAACGATTTTTCTATTCCGCTGTTTTCCAATACAGTGGCCCACCATTGACCAATTTCTGCATTACGTTTTAATTATAGTTTTGCAACGTAAATAGGCATATTTGCATCATAGTCTAGTGGGCCATTCGTAGGCATTTATCATTGGGGTGTAGAAGCTGATTTTGCTAACTGATATCCGTATAAAGTGCAATCAAGAAGGTGGCTCGCATGCTATTCTGCCTAACCTTATGCCTCTGAACATTTAGATATGAAACCAAATTCATGTCTTACAACATAAAACGGATTATATTATCCGAATTACCTTTCAGATATCCATGGCCTCCACAAGCTTCTCTACTTTCTTGAATGGCATCTCTCGCAAGCCAAGCCGATATTGATTTTATACCACACGACAATGCGTGGAACTCCATCGCACGATTCATCTGTAATTTTATGAAAATATTCTCATAAATTGTTATAGATCGAAGTCATGAGTTAATCTTACCGTTTCTGTCGTTTTCTTTTGATTTTGCGACGAGAAAATAAATTGTATGTAGTCAATCGAAAACACTTTTGTGAAATGCATGAGAACGTACGTTGCTGCAAGGTATGGAAATAAGCGCCATTGCTGAAATGATTTTAAATTGTTAGTTTGTTACGTGTTATTAGGATATGGACCTAAGAAGGTCCATTTTTTATCTCGAGTGTCAGGAAAAAACGGCTCGGGAGTTCTATTAAAAAACACAACAGTTGAATTAACAAATCAGTAATCGTGCTGCGTTAATTGTGTGAAGGCCAATAACACCCTACCAGAAAGGAGCAAACGTAAGATCACGCATAACGCATTCTCTCAACATTGTCCCATAATCAAACGCATGAAAACAAGCTGCCAGTAGAGTCAGCTATGAATAATACACCCATACACAATACGAACACAGGCAGCTGCAAACTAGTACAGATTAATGCACAGAAATGCAAAGCTGCTTGCTCCCTCCTCATTCACACTTCCAATGTACACGATACAGACATCATCATGATCCAAGAGCCTACACTACTAACAACATGATAGTCAGGTTCAATGACTGGAAAGTCTATCCTGCTCAGGACCATGGCTATCGCATCAAGGCTAGTATTATCATCAGGAACAAAAACATTACCGCCTGCCTTGTCTCCCAACACACCACAGAATACACTACCACCGTCTGTGTTACAGACAATAACACTTACCTTTATAAATGTTCTGTCTACATTCCAGACACCACTAACATTGAGATGGCCAAAGAAGACATTCATCACTTCCTAAACTGATACAAAGATAAAACTATCCTAATAGGAGGTGACTTCAATGCCAAGTCTGTGATCTGGCATA